TAAGGCTTGTGGACTTCAACTCCCAGAATTCTGGGAGTTGAAGTCCACAAGCCTTAAAGTGGCCAAGGTTGGAGACCCCTGATCCAGGCGACCTTCCATGACCAGAATACACGATGCCATGTGGAAGATTTCCTGCGGTTGGTGTGCCAGCCACTGATTGGAGCCCACTTTGGTGTCAGTGGCAGATGTGTTGGAGTTTTCTGCAAGACAGTTTGGACAGAGGGCTCTCCAGGGGTGGGATTCTACCGGTTTGGACCTGAACCGGATGTTATGATTATGCACAGTTCAGAGAACCAGCAAATCGTGCCACTGACTGGCCCCGCCCCTTCCCTCCCTGCCCCTCCCACTCCTTTTCACACTGCCTGGTGAGTCTTCTTTTTCTCACTCGCCCAGCTGCCTCCCATGCAGCCTGAGAAGGTAAGGCCACACAGCGAGGCTTACCACCACCACCGCATTGCCTCCCCCAATGGCCTACTGCTGCCACCGTATTGCATCCCGGAACAGCCTTGTGTTGCCTCCCCGAATGGCCTCATATTGTCTCCCTGAATGGCCTTGTGTTGCCTCCCCATTGCCTTGTATTGCCTCCTTGAACGGCCTCATATTGCCTCCCCAAAAGGCCTCGTATTGCCTCCCCATTGCCTCGTATTGCCTCCCTGAACGGCCTCGTATTGGCTCCCCATTGCCTCGTATTGCCTCCCTAAATGGCCTCGTATTGCCTCCCTAAATGGCCTCGTATTGCCTCCCTGAACGGCCTACCGCTGCTGCTCTCCTCACCTCTTCCTCCTCCTCCCCCTTCCCCAGGGAAGGGAGAAGGCAAAAGCAAAGGATTTTCAGCCTTGAAGCCGGTTAGTTGGTGATGGAGGGGTGGGGGCTAACGCTAACCCCCTTCTCTTGGCAAAGCTGAAAAGGAATAGAGATGGGAGCGGGGGAAGCGGGCAGAGGCTTCATTAGCAAAGAGGTCATTCTCAATGAGCTGGAGCCACCTCCAGTTAAAATACCTCTCCAAGATTCAGTGGATACCCCACGCACACGCACCCCAATTCGGTCTGCCGGGGCAATGCGGCCATCGCCAAAGCAGTGCAGGGCTCAGAGCAAAGTTTCTCCTAAATAAGTTCTGGAGAGCCAAGCCCAAACCCACGCAAACTCACTGTCTCTTCCACAGCCAAGAAAACTCCCATTAAAATCAGTGCAGCCTCGCTGTCAGGAAGGGGGCGGGAAGAAAAAGAGAATGAATGGGAGAAAAGAAAAACTTGGGGGACGAGGAAGGGAGATCGAGAGGAAGCGGGGGGAGGGGGTCTCTATACCTTCCTCCCAGGCTGACCACAAATGTTGAAAAGCTTCTGATTGCGCTCTCTCGCTCTCTCATTCTTTCTTTCTTTCTCACTCCTCCCGTTCATCTTTTTCTTTTCTTTCCAACCACGGAAGCCTCCCAGGCAGGCAGAAGGGGCATGAAACAAAAGAGAGACCCAAGAAATGTGGAAGGGGGAGGAGAAGTAAGGAGCAAACTCACCCCAAATGCTATGTCCTAACAACTTGCCCTGGGGGCGGGGTGAGAACCCAGGCATCTCGCTCTAGGACAATTGGGCGAGTGAGTGAGTGGTGATCTCTGCGTCTCGGATGCACCAGCCGCGGCCACAAGGAAAAGGAGCCTCATCACCCTCTGCTGCAGGGAATTCCACCTGCCCCTCGCCCCTTCCAACTCCCCGCAAGTCCACCTCCTCCCCACAGCTGCTCTGGAGAGAGATGCTTGCTTGTGCGGAAGAGGCACCGATCCAAGCGCCCCACCAGCAAAGTGCATGTGCCCCAGTCAGTCAATCACTGGGGTTTCCTGGGAGGCGAGTGATACTGCTGGGCGCTTGGAAAGTACTTTGGTGACTGGCCCACTGCTAAAAACAAACAGCGAGGCAAGGTGTGAGAGCTGGTTGGAAGCGTGCATTTGTGTGTGTGTGTGTGTGTTTCAGGAGGGTCTCCTTGTTTTAGGAGAGAGGGAAGGAGGGAAGGAAAGGAAAGAAAGAAAGAAAGAAAGGAAAGAGGGAGAGAGAGAAAGAGAAAGGGAGAGAGAGGGGGGAAAGAGATAGGGAAATAGAGAAAAGAGAAAGAGAAAAGAAAAGAAATAAAAGGGAAAGAAAGAAAAAGGGAAATAGGAAGAAAAGGGATAGACAAAGAGGGAGAGATGGAATGAAGGGATAGAAAGAGAAAAAGAAAGAGAGAGGAGAAAATGAATGAGATATATGAATGGATGGATAGATACACGGAGGGAGGGAGGAAGGGAGAGAGAGAGAAAAAGAAAGGAGAGGAAGGAAGGACACAAATCCTGGCTTCAGAAGACTCTTTGAAACAAGCACATCAATTTAGGGCTAAAAGGGATCTTGGAGGTCATCTTCTTGTCCAACCCCCCTGCTCCAGCATGAGATCCTTACAAAATAATAGAATAGCAAGGTTAGAAGGGACAGTGTGTGTGTGTGTGTGTGTGTGTGTGTGTGTGTGTGTGTGTATACGTGCGTGCATGTGCATGGCTGTCAAAAGTCCAAAAACAGGTCAAGTAGCTTTGGGAAGGTCAGTCATAAATTGGAATACTTGCTAAGCAACTGGCCATTAAGTGAGGACCACTTATATTTGGTTTGCCAGTCACAAGGCCACCTAGCCACACCCACCCCAGTCACATGAACAGCTAGCCACGCCCAGCCAGTCACATGACCACCTAACCACACCCAGCCAGTCACATAACCACCAAGTCACACCCACCAACTAAGCCACGCCCACAGAACCGGTTGTTAAAAAATTTGAATCCCACCCCTGGGGCTCTCCCCCAGTACCTTAAAGACACAGGTGGCCGCGTTGGCCTCGGTGCTTTCATTCGAGGACTCAAACACTCTCGCCCAACACCTCAGGGCGAGAGAGAGCCTTCAGGGAGCCACGAATTTGAAGCCACCAGTGGTTCACCGTTACCCCACCTGGGACTTGTTGAAGGTCTTGCAGGTGCTGACTTCTCCATTTGAACCTTTGTGTGAAGCCAGCCTGTGTCTACTCATGTGCAAGGTGTCATTTCTAGTGGCCATTACATCGGCCAGGCGTATCTCAGAGTTGGCAGCCTTATCAGTTAGAAAGGACCTTTGTGTTTTTCATGCAGACAGGGTGGTTCTGTGGTTGGACCCTACCTTTCTGCCCAAGGTGAACTCCTTATTCCATCGTTCCCAGGAGTTGATTTTGCCTGACTTTTGCCCAGAGCCTAACACACTCTGGAGAGGAAATGGCACACCTTGGACGTCAGGAGGGCCCTCTGCATTTACATCAAGTGAACCTCTTCCTTCAGGAAGACTGATTCCCTGTTCATCTCCTTTCAGCCGTCAACTTTGGGCCGTAGGGTGACACCTTCCACAGTGGGGCGCTGGCTTAGGGCCTGTATTGCTAAAGCCTATGAGTTGCAGGCTTTTCCTGTGCCCAGGAGAATCACTGTGCACTCTACCAGAAGTGTGGCAACTACCGCGGCCTGGGCAACGCAGGCATTGGTTCTAGACATTTGTTGAGCTGCAACGTGGTCGTCTGACCCCGTTCATCAGACATTACTGGATTGACTCTTTTGCCTCGGCGGAGGTGGCCTTTGGCAAATGAGTCCTGCAGGGCGTTCATGTAGAGGCGGGGACTTCAGACCAGACCTTTTCCCACCTGTAGGACAGCCAGCAGCCAACTTTGATATGTCCCAGCCTGGATTCTCCCTTCAGCTCAGTGGAGAAGGGGCATTGATCCTACATGACACTCCACTTCTCAGGGAGTCAAAGGGAGAATCCAGTCCCACCCTGAAGTCTGTCTGGTCAGAGTCAGGAGGGGAATTTTCATCAGGAGGACTATCAGTGGACAATGGACAGCGGAATTCGCTTCGACTTCATTCAGAACTGGGGACCGTTACCAGGGGGGCGTGTCCTCAGATTTCAACTCGGTCTATAGAGCTATGAGGCTTGAGACAGCCCAGCCTGGATTCGGCCTTCGACTCCCTGAGAAGAGGTGTGTCAGGTAAGACCAACGCCCCTTCTGCAGCTGGCAAGGCTGGCAAGGCTTTCCTGAAGGCCTCTGTAGCTGATAATAGAGCCCCAGATTGATCTAGAGCTCTGTTATTGGCTGCAGAGGCCTTCAGGAAAGCCTTGCTGGACACAGAAGTAGTAGTTCCTGAAGGCCTCTGACAGCGAAAAGGAGGCCGGGGGCAACACGCGCAAGTGAGGTTAGTCAGTGGATGACTTCCCCTGAAAATAAGACCTGGTGCCTTTTGTGGCAAAAAAATAAAATAAGACAGGGTCTTATTTTCGGGAAAACACCATATATTTGCAGTGAAAAAATGCTGTGGTTATATCTTTGCTGCCCAGGCGCTGCAACCTGTGAGAACTAACCACCTGTCCCATTTTCTTCCTTTCAGGGCGAGTCCAAACGCATCACTTTGGTTCTCCAGCAACCCCCGACTGGCGGAAATGCCCTGGGACAGCGGAAAGTTGTTTTGGGCAGCTTGCCTGGCAAGATTGTCCTTCAAGGGAATCAGCTGGCCGCCCTAAGCCAGGCCAAAGGAGTGCCAGGGCAACCTGCCAAGGTGGTGACCATCCAGCTACAGGTTCAGCAGCCGGGACAGCAACAGCAACCCAGCGGCCAGCTGGGGACTCAGAAGATCCAGCTCTTGCAACCAACCACAGCTGGCACCTCTGGCCAGCAGGCCCCTTTAAGCATACCAGCAGTCCAACAAGGCCAAGTGGTTGGGGGCTCAGGTCAGAGGGTGACGGTCCCAGTGAAAGTCGTGCTGCAGCCACAGGTAAGGGAAACGATCCCTCCTATAAGTTGGGAAGAAGGCTTCCCAAGTTATGTTCTTCAGTGTTTTGTCGATCCAGTAAGAAAAATGGAACCAGTGATTCTTTTCCCCCCCCAGATACCTGGGTGTTCTTTGAAAATATAAAGTAGGTTTCCAATCCACGTAGCCAAGGTGAGGTTGGGAAAAAATGCCCTTTTTTCTGTTTTTATTTATTTATTTATATTTCAAAAACATCTGTTTTAGTGAACAGCATGGTTCCAGGTTTTCACATTTCCATACAGACATGACCTTGGTTACATATTCATCTTTCACATTTGATTTCATATCATATCATTACATTACATTTCATGTTTTCTATAAATTTTCTCAGATATTCTTATATTCAAACTTATTTTATATATTTTCTATTCATTTCCTAACTTATTTCTTTTTATTTTAAATAATTGTCGGGCTCTACATCTTACCAGAGTCCTGGAGCCCAACATTACAGCTGTGCCTCGGAGCTGTGAATCCCTGATTTTCACTTTGAGTCCAGCATTGCAGCTTGGCAGCTGATCCAGACCAGCAGAGAAGGGAGGGAGGGCTGTGGGTGACATTTCACAGCCTCAGATGTCAGCTTCGGAATGTGGGAGGGTTTCAGCCTTGGAACTCAGATAATACAGACGGATGTCTCTTTGCAATGTGGAACTGTTTGGCTTTAAAACAGTGCTGGGTTTGAGGCGAACTGATAATTGTTATCTTCCCTTCCCCCTCCATTAGGATACTGATGGTAGGCAGGGTGGAGGGAGGAACGTAATATTAGCTTAGGCATGGTGTAATTAGGCACGGGGTGGTGGCATGGATAATTAGGTAATGGACAGATTAGGGTGGGGCGGATGCTAGGTAATTGGGCAGGGATGGATAAAAATGTTGGGAGTTAACTGTTTTCAACGCTGACTTTTCATGGAAATCCATTGTTGAAGCTCTTATCCACGATTGGGAACACAGCAATAAACTCTACAATTCCAACACTAAAAGTGTGAGTAGCCTGGTTTATTGATCAGAGTATCCAGTTCTTGGCAGAGACCAACAATAATTCTCATATCTTCATTATACTTTATACTTCTGTCACATTTGCAATTTCATCGTATATTCTTATTTCATTATTCCCAAAGTTCCATCTTAATTCAAATAATTCAAAAAATTTCCCCTTTAATTACTAATTTGAGTGTACCACCCCTTTATCTTATACATCATTTAGTTAACTCCTCTTTAATTCATAATAATTTATCACAATATTATCACTTTTTAATTATCACCTTAAAAGTTAATAACAATAATATCCTAACAACTACGTAACACGTATGCATTTTAGGCCAGATTCCGCATGGTATTTTCCCCTTCAATTACATTAAATCATTTATAATTTCAAATAAATTAATCTATTCAATTAAAAATTGATGTTAATCTTTTTATAACAGTCCTCGTTATTCATTTTAACTAAATTCTTAAATTTCTTAGACATATTTAGTATACATATCATAGTTTCTCTCTTTCACATTTATTCCATTTATCTGTGTATAATTTTTTTTAAAAAACTAGTAGTCTAGTAACGAGGACATCAGTTCCAATCTTTTCATTTTAAAAATCTATATTTTTCTACCTTCTAAATAATTTATTACTTCAAATGCATTTATATTACACCACATTACCTTGCAGAATCCCCTTTCTTAATCTTTTATCTAACCATTATCTCTATGTCTCTTAACTAAACAATTTCTTTTCATTTTTGTTCAATTTCCATCTCTCTTTATTTCCTGGTCCTTTCTCTTATTACTTCTTTTTTCTTTCATTTTTTCCCTCCATTTCTTACTCCAATTTTTATCCCCATCCCTCTTTAAAATTTTCTTCTGTAATTCCCTTTTCTGCTGTTTCCTTTTACTTTGTTTGGCTTTCAAAACATTTCCCTTTTTGATTGCCTCCTCAAGTCTCCAAGCTTTAATTCCCATTCTTTTTCCCCTTCGCTTTAATGTTCGTTGCTCCAATTGTTCATTGAAGCTGGCCTCTTCTTTGATCAGCTCCTCCCCTTTTGGCACTCCTTCCTGTTCTTCATACTCCAGAATTGCCATTTCTAATGATTGTAAGGCAAGACAGCATGACTCACCCTCTTTCATGTAACATTTCTTTCATGTTTCTTAATTCTATTTTTAGTTCCAATAAAAGTTCTGCCATTTTTAAACACTTTTATATTTTCTTTATCTCTTTCTTTAGTCTTTAAATCCAGACCAATTGTCCAGTAATTTAATTTGACCAGCATCTTTGATATTTATTTCCAACGATCAGCTTCTATTAATTCCTCTTTAAGTTTTTTCTGAATTCATCAAATAGTCCAATATCCATAAGTTTAAATTTATGCCAAAATCACCAAACAGTCCCAGAGTAATTTCTTCACGCTTCTTTCTTTTATTTTAATATTTTGTGTTTTTACTTTTCAGGGTTTCTATTTTATTGTAACAAAGTTTCTCTTATTTTGTATCAAGTTCCACTTTTGAAAGAACCAGGCATTTTTTTTTTTAAAGAGTCACTAAAATTTATCCTTTGCCATTAGGTGGTGTTCTCTGTTATGTCCAAATTCCACCTTTTTCCCCCACTTTCTTTTCTCTGTTTAGGGCTTTTAAATTTCAAAAATCCAATAAATCCAATTATCAGTTACTGGTTGTTGTTTTTTGACACATTCAAGTTCAGCTTTTAGTTATATCTATTTAGTGCCAAAATCATATATTTATCCAATTTAAACAAGTATTTTCTTCTGGCTTCCTTCTTGGGTTTATCCTTTCAAAGTTCAAAGCCACTTTCAGCTGTCATTCCCCCCCCCCCCCCTTTCCTCTGGTCGCCGCTTTTACTGTCTTTCTTAAAAATTTCTTAATATCTTAATTCCAGGGTACTTTTGTATCCAAACGTTGCGCTTGGTTAGCCTGGTCTTCACACTGTCCTCTTCTTCACCGCTCCAGCACGATCTTTGTCCCGGTTAGGTCTTCTCCTTCAGGGTGGCCGTATTTGACCACCGCTACAGCCCGTCTTCAGAGGGATTAAGCCTAGCCAGGGAGGGGAGATGCGGCTCCCCTCAACCCAGCTCGCGGTCTCCCCCTTCTTCACCACCCCTACAGGGTGGTTCTGGTCCCATTCAGAGCCCTCTGACGGGAGAGCATGGATCAAAGCCATGCACGATTGTGGTCTTCGGTCTGTCTGCGAAGGAAATGCCACTGGAAGTTGGAAAAACAGCCCTTCTGATGAGGGGGAGGAATAAATGGTTTCAGTGGTGGAGACAGGTTCTTTGTCACCCCCTTCCAAATCAGCTAAAGCTGAATAAATAATATGTGCAAGCTAGAAAGGATCAGAACGATGCATTGAAGTTCAAAAGAATTATTGATCAAGCCAAGACACAAAAGTCTACCAGTGTTTTTCCACCTTAACTACTTTTAAGATATCTGGACTTCAACTCCCAGAATTCTCCATGCTGGCTGGAGAATTCTGGGAGTCAAAATTCAGATACCTTAAAGAAACCAAGATTGAGAAACACTGGTCTAGTGAACTAAAATTTTGGGAGCATCTTCTGGGCTGCCTAAATTGGCACCAGATAAGGTGAACATAATTCAAGGAAAGTTAGACTTGGACCATTTGTGGCAACGTAACGATTCCAAGCTGATGGCTCATTTAGCTCCATCCTCCATCTCTTCTACAACATGATAAAGAAAGCATTGTTGGAGAAACAAGGTTGGTTTGGTTGACCTTAAGTCCTAAACATTGGGGTGGGGGTGGGGGGAGAGAAGAAAGTAAGTTTAGTGTATGTGTGGAAATACTGAATTTGTATCTGATTTTTGGAAATCAATTTTGCTATGTTGAGGCACCTTGTCCACATCCTATTTCCCACACTGGCAAAAAAAAAGTGTTGTTCTCTTGCCTGGCATAACAGAAATGAATTTGTTCATTGTTATCTTGCCTTTATTATTTTTACAAATACCTGAAGGCAGAAAACATATCCAACACACCTTCTTCCTCCTTTTTTCCCCACAACAACCCTGTGAGGTGGGTTGGGCTGAGAGAGAGCAAGTGGCCCAAAATCACCCAACCGGCTTTCATGCCTAAGGCGGGACTAGAACTCACGGTCTCCTAGTGATTGGCCCAAAAGTCACCCAGCCAGCTTTCATGCTAAAGGCGGGACTAGAACTCACCATCTCCTGATGATTGGCTAAAGTCACCTAGTCACCTAAGCCCATGCAATATCCTGCCTTTTAACCTGTAAGTTTGACTGAATAGCAGTAGCCAATCACCAACTTTTCCTCTATTTACTCAGCTCCTTACCTTTTAAATAAATTTGTGCTAGTTACAAATGAATATAGCCTTCATTGCCATGCTTGAGTTTGAAAATACTAGAACACAGATCAGTGACTTGTTTCTGGTCTCTTCTTCAAGTAACCAAGTGAGGTGGAAGGCCTTTTAAAGAAAGATCATGAAATTGCAGAGGAGCTGAATAAATTGCTTGCTTCATTGCAAAAGATGCCAGTTGCGTGGCCTGATCTTCCCAGCAGACCTGCTGTAAGGAGATATATGTCAGAAACAAAATTTTATTGATATTCCACTTTTATTATTTTTACAAATAACTCAAGAGGGCAAACACATGCAACACACTTTCCTCCTTCTCTTTTCCCCACAACTCTGTGAGGTGAATTGGGCTGAAAGAGAGAGGGACTGACCCAAGGTCACCCAGCTGTCTTTAGTTAAATTTTATTGCAAAAAAAAAAAAAAGCAAATTATTCACAGTGAACACACTGTTACATGTGCTGGTTGTCCATCAAGACTATGCAACAAATCAGTGGTTGTGAATGTATTTCCACACTTTCAGAATTGGTCTTGAGATCCTACATTGTTCATACAGTCGTTTATAAAATGTGTGCACAATCCCAAATTGTGCTTCATACTGCCTAAAGTCACACTGTTTGAGATGGGCAATCCTATAAATCTGTAAAATAAATACATCTCAAACAGTGTGACTTTAGGCAGAATGCAACACAAAAACAAAAAGAACCACATGAAATAAAAGCAATCCAACATATAGATAGTCCTTGACTTATAACCATAATTGAGCCTAGAATTACGGTCATAATTCATGCCAGTCATTAAGCAGTTCACCCTATGCCTGACCTGATTTTATGACATTTTTGTGGTGGTTGTTAAGTGACTCACCATAGTTGTTCAGCGACTCTACGGTTGTTAAGCAAATCCCACGGTCATTAAGTGAACCCGTTGTCTGCAGTCCGTGTTCTTGAGTTACGATCACAATTTAACCCAAAATTTCTGTTGTGAAGTAAGACATCATGTGAAGTGAGTTTTGCCCCTTTTTATGACCTTTCGTGCCATAGTTGTTAAGTGAATCACTGCAGTTGATAAGTTAGTCACCCGGTTGTTAAGTGAATCTGGCTTCCCCACTGACTTTTTTGTTAGAAGGTCGCAAAAGGCATTTGTGAGACCTTAGGGTGCAGCAGTGGTCATCAGTGTGAACCAGTTGTCAAGTTGCTCTGAATTTTGATCACATGTTCACAGGGAGGCTGCAAAAATCGTGACTCTGAAAAACAGTCCTAAGTCACTTTTTTCATTGCTATTGTAACTTTGAACAGTCACTAAATGAACTCTTGTAAGTCAAGGACTACCTGTATAAGTCTAAATGCTATTGCTATTAGGATACATCAACTCCACGGAGTCTGTATTGGCTAGAGAAGAAAGGATCTATTTCCCTTTTCAGACAGTATAGAAATTTAGTGGTGGAATGGGTTTTCCTCACCTTCCATTCCTCCCTTCTGTTTCTGAAGTTATGGAAGGGTAGGGTAGAATAGAATAGAATAGAATGGAATGGAATGGAATGGAATAACAGAGTTGGAAGAGACCTTTGAGGTCTTCTAGTCCAACCCCCTGCTTAGGCAGGAAACCCTATACCATTTCAGAAAATGGTTGTCTTCTTAAAAACTTCCATTGTTGGAGCATTTACAACTTCTGGAGGCAAGTTGTTCCACTGATTAATTGTTCTAACAGTCAGGAAATTTCTCCTTACTTCTAGGTTGCTTCTTTCCTTGATTAGTTTCCACCCATTGCTTCTTGTCCTGCCCTCAGGTGCTTTGGAGAATAGGTTTATCCCCTCTTCTTTGTGGCAACCCCTGAGATATTGGAACACTGCTATCATGTCACCCCTAGTCCTTCTTTTCATTAAATGAGACATATCCAATTCCAGCAACTGTTCTTTATATGTTTTAGCTTCCAGTCCCCTAATCATCTCTTCTGCTCTTCTCTGCACTCTTTCTAGAGCCTCAACATCTTTTTTACATCGTGGCGACCAAAATTGGATGCAATATTCCAAGTGTGGCTTTACCAAGGCATTATAAAGTGGTATTCACACTTCATGTCATCTTGATTCTCTACCTCCGTTAATGCAGCCTAGAACTGTGTTGGCTTTTTTAAGACAGCTGCAGCACACTGCTGGCTCATACTTAAAGGATTGTCCACTAGGACTACAAGATCCCTCTCACAGTTACTACTATTGAGCAAGGTACCAGCCTTTAGTACGAGCCTTTAGGTCTTCAGTTTCAGAGGCCTCAGGCCTCCCCGTCTTCCCACATTCAGGTAACGGGTTCTGTTCCAAGTACTGAATACCTGCCTCATATCTGGAGAGAACCAGGATGTTTCATGGAGGATGGCTTCTAACTCTGTATCCCTTTGCAGGCCAGCTCGTCCAAAGGCAGTACCTCGGGACTCTCGGTGGTGAAGGTGCTGAGCAGCAGCGAGGTGGCGGCCCTCCCATCCTCCAGTGGTACAACACGGAGCAGCTCGGACGAATCCCGCAAGCTGGAGCATCAGAAGAAGCAGGAGAAGGCCAACCGGATCGTGGCAGAGGCCATCGCTCGGGCCCGAGCCAGGGGCGAGCAGAACATCCCTCGGGTGCTGAATGAGGACGAGCTTCCCTGTGTTCGGCCAGAAGAGACAGGAGAACGAAAGCGGTGCCGGAAGGGCGGGGGCGAGCGCATCCCCAAAGAGGACAGGCCACGCAAGGGCAGAGGCCAGGGGGGATCCGGCAAGAGCAAAGGCCGAGGGAAAACCAGGTAAATAACAGTGGAACAGGGTTTGTTTATGTTTTTTTGTGGGGGGGGGGGGTTCTTCCTTTTCAAAGGAAGGAGATCCAGGTTATTTCCATTTGTGACACTCTCCTCCTTCCCAGCACGATCACGCCAGTTGTGGGGAAGAAACGGAAACGGAATACTTCTTCAGACAATTCAGATGCTGAGGTGATGCCAGCCCAGTCTCCGCGTGAGGAGGAAGAGGCCAGCATCCAGGTGAGCCCAGAGGGCGACCCTGCCTGGGGAGGGGGTTAGCTAGGTTAAGGCAACACAAACTGCTCTGTTGCCACTGTTTCCCAAGAGAAAATTGGGCACGATGACTCAGTGTTAAAGACACTGAGCTGGAAACCTGACTGCCAGGGTTTGAGACAGCGACACATGATGGGGTGAGCTCCCGTTTCTTTCCCCACCTCCTGCCAACCAATCAGTTCGAAAGCATGAAAATGAAACTAGATAAATAGGTACCACTTCGGTGGGAAGGGAACAGCGTTTCCTGCGCCTCAGCATATATTCATGCTGGCCACATGGCCACGGACAATGCTGGCTCCCTTGGCTACGAAATGAGAGAGGAGCATTGCCCCCACTGGACAGCAGAAACCTTTACCTTTCTTAAGAGAAAAAGGTCTGAGCTTGCTTTGCAAAGGTGCTCAGGTGATGCTTCACACATATCTAGCCAAATAGTTGCCTTGCTTTGCTCCTTTCTCTCACCCATTCACTGATCAGGAAGGTTGCGAGAGCATCTGCCATTGCATTTTAGAGAGCAACCAGAGCAAAGCGCTCCAAAATGTGTTTGCAACACCAACTGCCTCATTAAAGCAGATTGCTTTGCTGAGATCTGGGAGATGAGCACAGATGAGAGAATTTGGTGGTTGTGATGGGGAAAATAAGATGGAGTGGTGCGGTGACCTAGAGGTGGAGCTCTCGCCTCACAATCAGGAGGCTGTGAGTTCAATCCTAGATAGAGGCAGATATTTCTCTCTCTGGGCACACTCAGAATATATCTGCTGAACAAAACTCTGCATTGGCAACAGGAAGGGCATCTGGCCATTAAAACACTTCTGCTAGTTCCATTCAGTTGGCCAGATTCCACCCCGGAAGGGATTATGGCGTCATTAGAAGATGATGATGAAGATGCTATTTTCCTCTCTGTGGCTCTGAGAGTGCAGAGAGATTGGGCATGTTCAGGTCCTCTGCCTGTTGGACTGAGTCTGCGTGTTAATTGAAGCTCCACTCTGTGCTGTGGCCACGCCCCAGTTTTCAACTCAATCCAGCCAGGACAGACGTGAGTTGCTGGGGCTCCACTTTGATTGCAAGTGGAGGCCTTTTCCTGGGGGAAAAAAGTTCTAAACAGAGAAAGAAAATAGTTTGAGAGCTGCAGCCAAGAGACAGAGGTTTTGAGCCTCCGTTCTTGGCGATAGAGCTCAGGGCAGGCGCCCTAGCTCTTGGAGCTGCGACTGGCCTGATAAGGGCCTCAGCTGTTTTGTATTGATTTGGCTGCGAAGCGCTTAGCGTAGCAGCAGGCAGCAGTGGCTGAGAAGGCAATCGGCCCAACACGAGGAGGAGTGCTTTGCAGCAGCGCAAAGCAGGCCGCTTGATCGGGCAGTCGGCCTGATCCCAGCTGGGTGGCACAACAACATGGAGGCAGTTGGCGCTGAGGGAACATCGATCCAGCCCAGCTGGTGGCGCAATCCGGACATGTTGCCAGTGCTGTGGTTCCAGGGCCAGCACTGAGGTAGATGTGTGGGCTCCAGTAGACCTGTATGCAGGTCATTTCCTGATTGTGCATTACCGGCAGGGTGAGGCTGCAGCCCAGCAATAGGCCTCTCCAGGCCTGCTTCGCCAGTTCAGAGGTAAGAGGAACTTCTTTATTATGGATGGGGCCTAGAGGGCAAGGTAAGCAGTAAATGTGAAAGTAACTCCTCATCCTCTCCCCCTCCAGGATACAACCTCTCCCTCTGGCTGGCAACTCCTTACTCCCCAGTTAGGATGGCAGATAAAGATCAGGAAGGTGGTCACAGCCCCTCTACTTCTAGGGGTAGATCTAGGTGCAGGCAAAAGAAAAAGGGCCCTGAACCTAAAAAGCCTTCCAGGGCAGAAGAGCAGGATGCCTTTAGAAGACAGATAGCTCTAGAAAAGCAGGTTGAGAAAAGCCAGCATGTGGCTGGAGGGAGAAGCCTAAGATCCTGGGCCTACTACCACTACAAGTAGGCCTCGTGTACAGGCCTGGTCCCCTGATGGCTCATCTGCTTCTGTTGTATCTCAACTTCTAGAAGGTGCCAGAAATTATGAAAGGGATCCCCAAACAGCTTTCCAGGATGAAGCTTGGGAACCTCCTCCTAAGAGACCTAGGCCTGGAGTGGAGGCAACCTTTACGCCCACGGCTGCTGGCTTATGTGATCCTGAAGGGACAGAACAAGAGTTGCCTGCTCATATGGAGGCAATTATCTCAAAGGCCATTAGGCAAGGGTTTGTGAAAAGCCTTCAAGCAATGCGAAGGCCTGAATCTGTGGTGAATCTGTGTACTCAGACCTCCAGCATTCCATACATTCTAGAAGCAGACAATCCTTGAGGGACAGGGCTTCTCCTGACCCATCCATCCATAGTATCCCATCTAGAGCACCAGAGGAGGACAAGAAGGAATCTGACTTCTCTGTGGACGAAGACAAGGCCCCTGAGAGACCCTCCTTCACTGGGCTCTTTGAATCTCATAAGTTCCGGGCCTTATTGTTCAAGGCTAGGAAGATGGCCCAGTTGGGTCCAGAGGCAGATGTCGGGGGAAATGGAAGGTGATACCACTGCTCCTCCAGACCAATTTTTCACTGAGCCAACGGTATGGCCTGAAATGGTTCCAGCTCCTAGATTATTTTTAAACGTGGTTAAGAAAAAGCTGGAATCACCGGGCACATCTGCCATGTTGTCGGCCAACGAATGCCACTATTTCAGTATGGGGCCTGAACTTACCAGCTCATTACAGGTGCCATCAGTGGACAGTCCAGTTGCAGCCTTGGTAACTTCCTCTTCGAATCCCGCTGATCCAGAGGAAGCATTGAAGGCGGAAGATAAAAGGATTGAACAGTCCCTCCAGCATACACACCAGGTGGCTGCCTGGGCGGTCAAAGCTGCTTCGGCTGCCTCATTCTTCATGAGGGCTTCCTTATGTTGACTTCACCAACTTCAGGACAGGGTTCCCGCCACGGATGTCCGAGTGCACCAGGACATACATAAGCTTGTTGCAGCGGCCAAATTTACTCATGATGCCACTTTAAACAGTGCCAGATTTGCTACCAAGGCCATTGCCACCTCTGTAGCTGCTCGCTGAATGGTCTGGCTTTAAAACTGGCAGGCCAATGGGTGGCAGAAGTGGAAGGTGGCATCTGCCCCAATCAAAGGGGATAAATTGTTTGGGGAGGTCTTGGATCCCCATCTGGTAGAGACCAGAGATAAAAAAATATACCTTCCCTCTCTGTCAAGGCGATCAAGTTTCAGGGCAGTTCCATACTCCCGTAGGTCGACATTCAGAGCTGAGGGCAGTATCGGGGCTCAAGGGCCACAGAGGCAGGCCTTTAATTGCCAGGAATGCCCACAGGAAAGAGCGGCCAGAGATAGGCCTCAATTCTCAGGCAAGTGGCCCTTTCGTGTGGGAGGAAATCACTTTTTCCATCGCTCCAGTTAAATGTGGCAGTAGCTCTCCCATTGGGGGCAGGTTATCCAGTTTTGTGGCCCAGTGGGAGGATACTACATCCGACGCTTGGGTCCTAAATACCATCAGACATGGCCTTTTCTTAGAATTCAGGTCACAACCTCCCAGGTTCTATGTGCCTTGCCCTGTCTCCAGGGAGGCATCCCGTAGAAAACTCATGGAACAAGCTATTCAACACCTTCTGGATATTCAAACCATCCAGACAGTTCCATTGGGTCAGCAGGGTAAGGGATTCTACTCCCGGCTGTTTGTTATTCCTAAAGCTTCTGGGGGGTGGAGAGCTATTCTTGACCTCAAAAGGCTCAATACATTTTTGTGTTACAAGCGTTTCCGGATGCATTTGCTGCAATCTTTTCTAGAGAGAGTCAGGGAGGGTGACTTCCTCACCTCAATTGATTTGACAGAGGTTGCACATCAGGATTTGCCAGGAGCACAGAGGGTATCTACGCTTCAGCTACGCTGGGGAACACTTCCAATATAGGGCCATGCTTTTTGGTCTACTGCACCCAGAGTATTTACTAAGATTCTGGCTGCTTTGGCAGCCTGCTTAAGAACCATCCCGGTAAGTGTGCAGTGTTACTTGGATGATATTTTAATTCAATCATCCTCACACGACTGGGCCTTAAAGGACCTCTAGGTGACAGTCTCCCTTTTGCAAGACCATGGGTTCTCAATTAACCACAAGAAAAGCCATTTCACACCAACCAGATGTTTATTACATCTTGGAGCAAACATTAACACTATGTCTTGTAAGGTATTCCTTTTATAGGAACGCAAGGACAGTTTGCAGAGCATGGTGGGGGAGATCATGAGGGTGGATAAGTCCCCTTTGGCACTTCTCTCCCAACTCTTCGGAAAGATGATCTCTTGCATCTCCATTGTGCCTTGGGCTAGATTGCATTCTAGAAAACTACAGTGGTTTCTCTTGCCATTCCAAAAGGCGGGCAGAAGCCACTCATCACTCAGAGTCACAGTCCCCAGATCAGTCAAGCAGTCCTTGTTATGGTGGGCTTCCCAGGCATTGAATGCAGGTCACTTATTCCAAGAACCGCCCCGAATGGTAGTCACCACCAATGCCAGTCTCTTCAGCTGGGGGGCTCATTTGCAGTCACAGGTGGCTCAAGGCCAGTGGTCTGTTTTGGAGAAAGGGAAAAACATCAATTGGTTAGAATTGAGAGCGGTAAGATGGGCTCTCAAATTCAGAAGCACTATACAGAACACACGTCCTAATTTTAATGGATAATGTTGCCACTAAGGCTCATATTAACAGGCAGGGTGGCACCAGATCCAGGGTGTTAATGTTGGAAGCTGAATGTCTGGGTCTTTGGGCAGAGAGGAATCTCATATCAATTAGAGCGGAACATATTTCTGGGGTCGAAAATGTGCAAGCGGACTGGCTTAGCAGGGCCAGAATTGACCCCTCAGAGTAGAGTATTCCCCCTCTTTTATTTCAGAAGCTGTCATAACGGTTCAAACTACCAGTGGTGGACCTGTTTGCGTCTCCAAACAATGCCAGACTCCACAGGTTTTTCACCAGGTTTGTGACACGGGGCAGAAAGGATCAATGCCCTCAGGAGCAGGTGGCCTCAGGGTCTCCTGTATGCCTTCCCTCCTGTTCCGCTGCTCCCAGTGGTCGTTAGAAAGATACTGGAGGAGGAGGCGGAGGTCATACTTCTGGCTCCTTACTGGCCCAGATGCCCCTGGTTTGCGGATCTGGTGAATCAGTCACCCAGCCATGGAGGATCCCTCCATACAAGGTGTTGTTAATACCAAAGGGAGATAACTCACCCAGAGGCTCAGTGGTTCCAACTGATCGCATGGCGGTTGAGCGGAGCACCCTGAGGAGACAAAACATATCAGAACGAGTCATCCACACTATACTAGCAGCTAGGAGACCATCCACCAACCACATTTATGAAGCCACGTGGAAGGTCTTCTTTCAGTGGTGCATCAAGACTAAGATTTCTCCCACTTTGGCTTCAATAGCCAACATATTGGACTTTCTACAAGAGGGGCTTGACCAAGGGCTCTTGGCCAACGCCCTACGTAGGCAGGTGGCTGCCCTTTCTTCAGTATTGTATATCCATAGGAAAGGGTCCTTGTCTCTGAACCAAACCATCTGGAGATTTCTAAAAGGAGCCTCCAACAGCGGTTCACAGTTTCCCCACTTGGGATCTCTTTAAGGTATTAGGGGCTTTAATGAGTGATCCATTTGAGCCTCTCAGATCCATCAGTTTACATCTCCTATCTCTTAAGGTAGCCTTTCTAGTAGCCATCAATTCAACTAGAAGAATTTCCGAGATGGCGGCTCTTTCGGTCAGGGAAGATCTGTGTATTTTCCACCCAGATAGGGTTGTTTTGAGATTAAACCCTTCTTTCATCCCCTAGCTTAATTCTAGTTTTCACAGAGCCCACGAACTTATATTGCCAAATTTCTATCCTAATCCTACGCATAATTTGAAGTGGGCGTGGCATACTCTGGATGTTCACAGAGCATTGAAAATATACATTCAGAGAACACGTCCAATCCGCAAGACAGAGGCACCTTTTGTGTCCTTCCAGCCGGGCACATTGGGGTTAAAGGTGACTCCATCTACAGTGGGTAGATGGATTAGGGCTTGCATATCTAAGGCCTATCAGAGCAGGTCTCTTCCTGTGCCTTGAGGGGTGACGGCCCATTCTACCAGAAGTGCGGCAAAGACTGCAGCATGGGCCACTCAAGCACCCATTGAAGAAATATGTCGAGCTGCTACATGGTCTTCACCATCACCATTTATTCGACATTACCGATTGGATGCCTTTGCGTCTGCTGATGCAGCCTTTGGAAGGAGGGTTCTACAGAGCGTACTTGAACGCCAATGTGAGTAGGACCAGACTCAATCCCTCCCAGGGACTGTTCAGCTTTGATATGTCCCAATCTCTCTGGACTCTCGGAGCCACAGAGAGGAAAATGAACATTGGCTTACCTGAATGTTCCTTTTCTCCTGTGGCGTAGAGTCCAGCCCCACCCTATTTGTGTGGTCTTGGTGTGGGGTTGGGGGGAGCAATAATGTATGTCTTTTTTATCTTGCAACCACAGAACCACGTCCAGTCTGCCAGGTGCTTCATCGAAAGCTGGGGTGTGGCCACAGCGCAGGGTGGAGTTTCAATTAACACGCAGGCTCAGTCCAACAGGCAGAGGACAAGAACGTGTCCACAGGAGAAAAGGAACATTCAGGTAAGCCAATGTTCATTTTCCTTAAACCATCTCCTCTTCTCCCCACCTGTAGAAACGACGTTCAAACCGTCAGGTGAAGCGAAAGAAATATACAGAAGATCTGGATATCAAGATCACGGATGATGAAGATGACGAGGAGCTGGACGTGACCGGCCCCATTAAGACCGAACAGCCCCCAGCTCCAGAACCACTTGCTCCAGAACCTACCCCTGAAGGAGAGACATTGCCATCAATGCAGTTCTTTGTGGTAAGGGGCTTCCTTAGTCTGGAACGTCATTTCCACATAATTTACCACCCATTGATTTGATAGGTCTAGAACAGGGGTGTCAAACTCGATTTCATTGAGGGCCGCATCAGGGTTGTGTTCGACCTCAGGGGGCCGGGGTGGGCGTGGCCAGGATGGGCGTGGCCAGTTCAACGTCACTCGTGTCGGGCACCTGTGGTGGCCAAGTGCTAAGGCAGGACTTCCCTCAGACCCTCCCTCACTGTCATTATAACCTTCCTTCCTTTCTTCCTTCCTTCCTTCCTTCCTTCCTTCCTTCCTTCCTTCCTTCCTTCCTTCCTTCCTTCCTTCATTCATTCATTCATTCATTCATTCTTTCCTTAAACTTTATATCCGTGTTACTAACTTAACTGCTGCGGTGATTCACTTAACTACTTTGGCAAAAAAGGTTGTACCATGGGATAAACTTAACTGTCTTGCTTAGCCTGGACACTTTGGGCTCAATTATGGCCGTACGTTGAGGACTACCCTGTATGTGGACTTCCACTTTCCAGGATTCGCAGTTAAGGCCATGCTGCCTGCCGAATTCTGGGAATTGAAATCCTTCCTGTCCGGATAGCACCCAGAATGGTGAAGAACACTTTTTTCTTTAAAAGCAAGAGGCATCTTCCCCCATCTTCCTATTCAGGTAGTCCTCAACGTATGACCACAATTGAGCCGAAAATTTCTATTGCTAAGTGAGAAATTTGTTAAGTGAATTTTGCTCCCTTTTTCTGAATTTTCCTGCCAAGGTTGTTAAGGGAATCATTGCAGTGGTTAAATTAGTGACCCAGTTGTTAAGTGAATCAGCAGTACATGATCCCATGACTCAGGGACACTCTGACCGTCATAAATGTGTGTCGGCTGCTTGAGCATCCGAATGTAAATCACGAGACCGAGGGGATGCTGTAATGGTCATAAGTCTGAAAAATGGTCATAAGTCACTTTTTTCAGTGGTGTTGTAACTTTGGACGGTCACTAAGTCATCTGTTGTAAGTTGAGGACTCTCTACTGAGATTTGATAAAAGACGTTTGCTCAGTGGTGGCAGCGACAATGTTTTCCATACTAGTCCTCCCAGATTTAATTCTTTGCATTTGTTGCTAAGAAAAGGATTGTGAATCTCTGCTGCTAGACCAGTGTTGATGGAGCATAATTGGGATAGATGGTGTTTGGTGGCCTAGGTCGCCTTCCGGTGTCCTTCATTTTGGGGACTTAGGCTAAATGAAAGGAAGCTGTTTCATACATGATGTTAAGGACTTTGCAGGTTCTTCCCTCAATTTTTTTTTGGGGGGGCACTTGGAACGTCCCAGACACATCTGGATCAAAGGCCAGGCAGGGTGGCCCTTTGAGTGCCTTTATTAAGACCCTCTCTTTAACTATCTGTTTCTTTCTTCCCCACCCCTTCTGCCTAAAGGAAAACCCGAGTGAAGAGGATGCTGCCATCGTAGACAAAGTCCTGTCCATGCGTGTGGTGAAGAAGGAGGTGAGAACTTTTGCTCTGCTGCCAAGGCTGAGTGACTTGTGGCTTTCCAGCTGCCCCTGCCCTACTTTATTGTAAGGATTCGCTTTTCCAGATGGTGGGTGGGCGGGGAAGGGTCCAAAGCCACACAAAGAGTCCCTTCGGCTCGTTTTGTCCAGGCTGTTCATAGCAGACCCTCGAGGTGCAGCTAGCTGCAGGATTGCACTCTCAGTGTTCTTATTCTGATGTTGTAAGACAGATGGCTAGATGGTTAGGTTAGATAAGTTCAATCAATCAGAATAGAACTGGAAGGCTCCTTGGAGATCTTTTTTTTTTTTTTAAACAAGTTTTATTAATTTTTTTCAAAACACACAAGTCGTCATTATCCATTACATATTTAAACCTTTTTCCATTATAAATTTAACAAGTCAGATAAACTATAATTCTGTTTTAAACCATTTCCATATAAACATACAAAAACCTCTTATCCATTTTCTCTTTCTTTCTCTTTACTCTTATTCCATTTTATTATTATTATTTCATCTATTTCTTTCTGACTTAGTTACCATTATTCTCATTCTATATTTCTGCAAGGTTTCATTAATTCTCCCCCCCCCAAAAAAACATATATACACAACACACAAAACATAAAAAAAGATCTTTTTGGAAAGTAACTTGGACCCAGGTATTTCTTTCTTCATGGACTTCAACTGTATTCATACTCATCTTACATATCATTACTTATTTTATTTACCATTCTAAATCTTCTATATTAACTTCTCCCCATATTTCACTCTTTTTAATTCTATCTTAATTAATCATCTTAATTTGAGTCATTATATTTGTATCTTTTGTCCATTCTTTATTGTACCTTTGTCTCATTCCTTATAAAAAAAAAAGAAATTTCTCCTGAAATCACTAATCAGAGTATGATGCCTTTCTATCTCCCGACTAAATTAATCAAATTAATCTTTAGAATACCCAATCCGATTTTGCTTGGTACATTCTAACTGAATAATACATCCAAAATAATTAAATACATAGTTAAACAATAGATCTAAATATTAAAAACAAATACTATAATGAAAATTTTATAATAACATCAATCCCATAATCTTATCAAACTCTTTAATTAAAGCTCAATATTCTAAATCTCCCCTCATATTATATTTTAAAACCAATCATTATTAACATTTCAACATTTTAATCTCTTATCAACTCTTAAGCCATTTAAGTTTTCTATTTCTAATACAATACTACCATATCATCTTATGTACCTTGCAAAATCTCTTTGAAGAAATTATACTTATCCTTTATCCCTAAAAAAAATTCCTTTTTTCCCATTTAATTTCAAAACTTTGTAGCTTTTCTCCACCTTTTCCCTTTCTTTCTTCTCCCAACAAACCTTTCTACCCCCCCTTCTTCTAGCCTCTGCCTTACTGGCTTCCCTTCTCTGTCGTATTCCTCTTCCCTTTTGTTTACCATCCTTATATTGATTTTGCACCTTGTTTTTCCCTTTCTTAAATGTTTTTTTAAATCTTAAGTCCTTTATTTCTCTTCTCTTCCCTCTTCCTTCCCTCTTGGTCGAGTTCTGAGATTTATTAAAGATGGTTTCCTCTCCTTCTTCTTCTTCTGCTGTCTTCATCTGCTGCAATGTTTGTTGATAGTTAATAAGCGCCATTTCTAAAAAAAGGAAGGCTTCTTTCAAACCAGCTTTACCATTTTTTTTTGCTTGCTCATAATCTTTTCTCAGTTCCTCAATAGAAGGAGCCATTATAAATCTTTTCTTTTCTTTTCTCTTACAACAGTCAGAATATTCCAAAGGAAAAATAAGACAATCCCAAAGTTATCAGTCAGTCCAAACCAAGACAGAGTTCCCACTCTCTCCTCCTAGGGTAGTATCAATCAGAGAAAAAGAAAGTCCAAATCTGTTTCTTAAAATCTTATTGCAATATATTTTAGTCTTTCAATCCTTAAGGCATCTCCTCCAACAAAGTCTTAGCATACAAATATTTTTTTTTAGTCCTCTCTTTTCCCACTCATCGCTTAAAGCCAGTTTTCACCTAAAAAAAAATAGATTTCTTAATATTCACTTTTTATTCCGTAGAAAAAGAGGGTAAGCTATCCTTTCAGCACCATTAAACTGCCGCTTTTTTCTTCTTCTCGAAGGTATCATTCAGAAAGTCATACTTTTCAGGAATTTTGTTAAATATGTCTTAGAGTCCTAGGAGCCAAGAAAAACTTTCTCCTTTCAAGCACTTTCTCCACTTCCTCCTGCGCATTCTTACCCGGCTGCCAGCTTCTTTGTGGCGGCCATTACGGACCGCCGCTGCACCGTCCTGGGAAAAGGGGGTTCTGCCGGCCGGGGAGGGGGTCTGCAAAACCCCCAAACCCTTCTCCGGATCCCCCCTACCTTCAGCTGCCCCTGCAGGGCAGCCTAGCTCCGTACCCGTCTGGGTCGGAGCCCCAAAAACGGCTAGCGCGGGAGGGATCGCGCAGCTTCGCAAATCCCTGCCGCTCACGAAGCCGACAAACCGGAAGTCGCGGCTCCTTGGAGATCTTCTAGTCCAGTGGTTCCCAAACTTTTTCAGTCCACCGCCCCCTTGGTGCTACAAACTCATCCTCTGTGCCCCCCACCCAGGGGTGGGATTCAAATTTCTGTGGGCATGTCCTAATTTGAGGGTGTGGCTTGCTGGTCATGTGATTGGGTGGGTGTGGCTTGCTGGACATGTGACTGGGTGGGCGTGGCTTGCTGGTCATGTGACTGGCTGGCGTGGCTTGCTGGTCACGTGACCGGGTAGGTTTGGTTTGGTGGTCATGTGACTGGGTGGGCATGGCTTGCTGGTCACATGACCGGGTAGGTGTGGTTTGGTGGTCATGTGACTGGGTAGGCATGGCCAGGTGACTGGCAAACCAAATACAAGTGGTCCTCACTTAATGGCCTGTTGTTTAGCAAGTGTTTTAATTTATGACTGGCCTCCCCAGAGCTACTTGACCTGTTTTTGGAGTTTTGACAGCCATTCACACACATACACACACACTCCCTTTTAACCCTGCTGGAGCAGGTCATTGGACTAGAATTGGCAAAGCATCTCTGATTATATTCTAGTAGTGAATAAAATCTAATCAGAGATGCTTTGCCAATTCTTGTTGATTTGTTTTATTTTTATTTCTTTATTTTATGTTGCTGAATTGCATTGACATGTCTGACCCTTCTTGCGCACAACCCAGAAGCTTTTGTGATTCTTTGCAGCAAAAATTACTGACTTCTGGCTTTGCTCGACTTTTCAAACGTGCCGTCACTGCCGCGTTTTAGGTGCTGGCCCCGCAGGTCCACCCCATTGAGCCCGCTGCACAAGCAAGTTCAAGCAGAGCAGTGCACCAAGTCAATGGGGTGAGCCTGAGAGAGGGAAAGAGAGAGAGAAAAGAAAGAGAGAGAGAAAGAGAGAAGGAAGAAAAGAAAGAGAAAAGGGAAAGAAAGAAAAAGGGACAAAGAAAGGGGGGGGATGGAAGGAAGGGACAGAAAGAAAAAGAAATGAGGGAGGGAGGGGGGAGAAAGATAATGAGATATCTATTCTTGTCCAATCACCTGCTCCAGTAGGGTTAGAAGGGAGTGTGTATGTGTGTGTGTGTTCTTGTAATTTACCAGTACATTTTGGTTTTGCCTTCTTCAGAATTGGCACTGTAATACATTGGGGAAAAGTAATTTTTTAGGGTGGAGATCTGGTCCAATGGATCCTGTTTAAAGCCTCAACAAAATGTGAGAGCTTCCTGATAGTCTTGACCATGTTTCGTCCACAAAACCTTTAATAGAAGCCAAAGAGGTTTCAATGTGCTGGCAAAGATGTTTCAATGTGGAAAAGGGCCTTAGTCTAAACTAGGCCTCATTTCAATCTGATGCATCAGGTCTCTCTCTCTGTTTCTGTCTCTGTCTCTCTCCCTCCCTCCCTCCCTCCCTCCCTCCCTCCCAGACCGGCTTTGCTCTACTTTCCCGATGTGCCTGCGTGGCCGGCGCTTCGAACATGGATGGATGGATGGATAGATGGATGGATGGATAGATAGAGAGAGATACAGAGAGACAGATAGGTAGATAGGTAGATAGATAGGTAGGTAGGTATATTGGTTGGTAGGTAGGCAGGCAAGCAGGCAGAAAGACAGACAGACAGACCTTTTGGATGGATGGATGGATGGATAGATAGGTTGGTAGGTAGAAGAAAGGCAGGCAGGTAGGTAGGTAGGCAGGAAGGCAGGCAGGCAGACAGACAGACCTTTTGGATGGATGGATGGATGGATGGATAGATGGATAAGACAGACAGACAGACAGACAGACAGACAGATTGATTCACCCCATTGACTGTTGCACCGGAACGGTGCAAGGGCCTCAATGCGGTGAGCCTGCAGAGCCGACATGTCGAACGCAGCGGCAGCACGTTGCGAAAGTAGAGCAAAGCTGCCTGCCCTGGGCTTCCTCAACCTTGCCCTGCTCCAGGAAGGAGGGAGCAGCACCGCCCTGTACGACGTGAGTGCCCTGGGTGGGGGGGCAGCTTGGGAGGCTGATCCCTGGCAGGAGGGGCAGCTTGTGAACTTGCTGTCAGGCACGGCAACTACAAAGAGGGGCGGGCTTGGCTGAGCGGGATACTGGATATTGGGCATGTGGTCAAAGCCCCCCTTCCTCTACCTCCCCCTAGGTAATCCACGGATGCCACTGACTGTTGCACCAGAGCGGTGCATCGGAGCTGCCGCATTTGAGGCGCCAGCTCGGGAGCAGTGCAACAGTCAATGGGGTCACCCTGCGGGGCCGGCACCTCGAACGCCCCCCTGCCGCCTCTTAGCGCCCCCCTAAAGCATCCCACCCCCCCAGGGGGTGGTACCACCCACTTTGGGAACCACTGTTCTAGTCCAACATACACACTCCTCGCTCAAGCCGGAGACCCTATACCATTTCAGACAGGTGACTGTCCATTCTCTTCTTAAAAAACCTCCAGTGAGGAAGCATCTACGACTTCTAGAGGCAAGCTGTTCCACTGGTTAATTGTCTTCGCTGTTAAGACCTCTCTTATTTAATTTAATTTAATTTAATTTAATTAATAAGATGAATGAAGGGACAGAGGGAGGTGGGGATGGATGGACGGGCAAAGGGATAGATAGCCAACCTTTCACAGATTGATGATTGATCGATTGATTTGGCTTGTTTGTTGCTCATCTCGCCCAGAGGTTACTAGGGGTGGCTTACAAACATTAAAAGCCAATAAAGCATTTAAGCAACAAACAAAGATGAATGAATGGACGGGGTGGTGGTGGTGGATGGACAGGCAGCCAAAGGAATAGCCAGCCAACTTTTCATGTATATACTTACTTACTTGTCAACTCATAAAACATTTTCTATACATGTTTTATAGTTGTCAACAGAAAGAAGGGCGGGAGTTTCAAAGAGCAGGCAGCAGTGTGGAATCGAAAGTACAACCCATATTTTCTTCAGAGACTGATTAGATGACTGAAGCTTCTGCCATGCAAAAATCTAATTGGAGAGCATGATTGATGACTCTTGGCTATGGATGTGTTTCGTTGGAGAATTGAATTATGACAGACATGATATTATTCCGATTAAAATCGGAATTCCGATTTTTTTGGGCGGGCGGCGCGGGCGGGCGGGCGGGAGGGCGGCGCGGGCGGTGGGGGGTCTCTTTTGGCCGGCCCCGATTTTTTTTTCAAAGGGGAATATCATGCCTGTTATGATACACCTGGGGGGGAAGCAGGGTCAAAGGTGACAGTGAATTCTGTGTCTCAGATCCAGCTACGCCCAGGTCATGCTGACATGTTGATTTCCAGTAAATCCTTTGAAGTTTTGAGAGTGTGACTCAAGACTCATGATTTAATTGGAGTAACTGCCAGAATCCTGACACTTACCTACTTACTTACTTATTTACTTATTTACTTACTTATTTGGCTTGTTTGTCACTCATTCTGCCCAGTGGTAACTCTGGTTGGCTTACAAACATTAAAAGCTGATAAAACACTGAAGCAACGAACAATCATTGTCATAGTAATAATTGGATTATCTGATTTTGTTGCTTTCTTTCCTCCATCGGCAGCTACCCAACGGGCAGTTCACAGAAGCGAAAGAATTCTTCGTGAAATACAAAAACTAGTAAGTACGTCCACCCGCTTTCCACTTTCAAACACACCCACTGCTTGGCCGTTTAATAGAAGGGATGAAACGCAGATCTCCATCTTTTGTTGTAGGGAAAGGATCCGTCTGTATCCCAAAACACTAATGGAATGCTTGGATTGACCCAGTTCGGGAAAAGAACAAAGTTCTGAAGTCAGATCTCTCTCAGGGTTGAACTGTGGGATCCTTCGTGCTCTTTTCTTGCAGTTGTTTCAGTACCCAGCTAGGTAATATCAGTGTTGATGTTAGAGTACAGGCAATCCTCGAGTTACAACCACAATTGAGCCCCAAATTCACATTGCTAAGTAAAACATTTGTTAAGTGAGTTTTGTCCCATTTTATGACCTTCCTTGCCACAGTTGTTTAGTGAATCACTTCTTCTTGGGCCATATCCATCATTGGACGTTGGCGAGCATGTTGGCGATCCTATTTTTATCAACAGCCACATGAAAAAGTGCCGCTGAGTTTTGTCCAAACCAGTCCCTTACATTTTGAAGCCATGATGTTCTTCTGCCTGGACCTCATTTGCCTTCAATCTTTCCTTGGAGGATTAAACGAAGTATGCCGTATTTTTCCAGGTGTCACATCACATGTCCGAAATATTCTAATTTTCACTTTTGAATCACTGTAGTTGTTAAATTAGTAACATGGCTTCCCCATTGACATTGCTTGTCAGAAGGTTGCAAAAGGGGATCACAAGACCCCGGGACACTGCGACCGTCATAAATATGAACCCAGTGGCCAAACCTCTGAATTTTTATTATGTGACTCATGGGGATGCTGCAACAATCATAAGTGTGAAAAAAATCACTTTTTTCAGAGACGTCATAACTTCGTAACTAAATGAACTGTTGTAAGTCGAGGACTACCTGTACCTACATAATTGATGACGTTACATAGTTGGGTAATGAAACGCCTGCAAGAAAACCACCAAGCTCAAAGAGCGCCAAGGATCCCACCTCTTCCCATTGATCCAGTGCTTTCTTCTGGATGCCCAGCATTTACAATACCCTTCTCTCCTTTTCTCCCCAACTCAGCTCTTACTTGCATTGTGAATGGGCCACCATTGCTCAACTGGAGAAGGACAAGAGGATCCACCAGAAACTCAAACGGTTTAAGACCAAAATGGCTCAGATGAGGCACTTCTTCCATGAGGTGAGGTACCCATGACGATAGAAACCTAAGTAGACTCTGGAGGCCAAATTGCTCAGCCAGCCAGTGGCTTGTTTAATCCCAGTTGCTGGTACTCCTGTGGGAGTCAACACCGCCTCACGCTATCCTGTCTCTTTAGGATGAGGAGCCTTTCAACCCAGACTATGTGGAAGTTGACCGCATCCTGGATGAATCGCACAGCATTGACAAGGACAACGGGGAGGTGTGTTGGTACTTTTCAGATCAATTGACGGGTGGAACATGCAAATGGCAGTAGCAGACTTATATACCGCTTTACACTGCTTTACAGCTCTCTCAAAGCGGTTTACAGAGTCTGTAATGCACCCAGCAATCTGGGTCCTCATTTTACCCACCTCAGAAGGATGGAAGGTTGAGTCAACCTTGAGCCGGTCAGGATCGGCCGGCTGATCTAGAGTTAGCCTGCAATACTGCGTTTTCTTGTCTATGGTTACATGAGTCCAGATAGGATGGTTATATCAGCTTAAACCAATAGGACTGAGTCTGCTCAAATTCAAGCTCCGCCCCTTTGCTCTGGCTACTCTCCAGTTTTCGACTCAGTCTTAGCCAGGACTAGACATGTTTTGCAAGGCTCCACTATAGTTTTAAGTGGAGCCTGATCATTAAAGGAAAAAAAGTTTTAAAAGGCAACTTTGAGGCTTGTAAACTGCTGGATTCAAGTGAGTGGGCTGATTTTGGCTCCCAGAGCTTCCAAATCGTGCGAAAGGCTTTAGGCACAGCATGTAGAGCCAGGACCACGTGGGATGGCTCCAGGCGATCGGCCCGATAAGGGCCACCAGCTGATTGGCGCGGCAGCGTGGCAGCAGCAGAAATCGCTTGCTGTTTCTCTTTCATTTTCCTGCTTTGCTGAGAGGATCGCCTTGGCTGCAAAACGCACAGCGCAGCAGCCTGCAGCAGCGGCTAGAAGACTGAAGAGCAGAAGCCACAGGAGAGCTTTGCAGAAGGATTGGAGAAAGCAAAGCAGCCGCTTGATCGGGCATCGGCCCAATCCCAGCTGTCAGGGATTACTCCCAGCTGAGGGCGCTACCGGCCTCGTTGCCAGTGCTGCGTTGCATTCCAGCACTGAGGAAATCGCGTGGGCGCCTTTCTGACCTGTTTGCAGGTCCAAAACCTGGTGTGTGACCGGCAGGCAGGGGTGGGTTTCTACCGGTTCTGTCCACCTCTGTAGAACCGGTAGCTCTGAAGAACAGCAGACATAGAACCGGTTCTATGTCTACTGATGTTTTTTCCCACCTGCCCACCTGGGCTCTTACCTGATCTTTATTTCCTGATTTTTCAACTTCAGCTGCCAAACGAGGCACAGCTGCAGTTAAAAAAGCAGGAAAAGAGGGCTGTTTCAAAGGCTGCGTCTCTGCACGCAGCACGCTGATGACGATTTACAGGCATGCGGCTCACAGCATGCAGGGAAGCTCGTAAATCCTAAACCGGTAGTTAACCCTGTCGTATGCCACCCCTGCTGGCAGGGTGTGGCTGCAGCCCATCAGTACCCTTTACAAGCTTGCTAAGCCGGCTTCCCAGGTAAAGTGATTAATTTGTTTCTGGTTCTCGCTTTTTTATTGCATTATTCCCTTGTGATTGGATTTATTAATACTACTCCCTCCTTCCAGCAGGTCCCCTCCCTTCCCTGTCTCTTTCTTGTGAATTAATTCATTCTCCAGGTGAGATGGCTGACAAAGAACAAGAAAAGGAGTCCAGCCCTTCCACTTCCAAAGGAAAATCCAGAGGCAGACAGAAGAAGAAGGCCCCTGAAGCCAGAGCTGAACCAGAGGTCCAGAAAGAACCAAAGGCTTCTGGAAAAAGGTTGGAGAAACGCCACCATGTGGCTGGGGGGAAGGGCAGGAGATCTCCCCCTCCTGATGATGGTTCAGATCAGTCTGCACAACCCCCAGTTTTACAACTGGAAGTAGGGCCTTCTTACCTCTACTGGGCCCCCTCGCCCTGGTATTTGGTCCCCTGATAATTCTTCTGCAGTTGGGGATCCAACTCCTTTGGGAAACCTTGAGAGGGATGATAGGGAGCCTACAAATGTGGAGGAGCTGCTTCCTCCTCCCTCTAAAAGGGCCAGACCCGTTCCTGAACCTTACAATTCTGAGGAAGAGGAAGAGGCTGTTCCAGCTCATTTGGAAGCCATTATTGCTAAGCCTATCAGAAGGGGAGTGGTTGAGGCTCTTCGAGCGTCTAAAGGAAATATCTCTGAGGCCTCAGATCAATCAGAACCAGACTGGTCTTTTCATGCTAGAGAAACCTACTCTTTCAGGGACAGAGGTTCCCCAGTGCCTTCTTTACCCAGCATTTCTGGCAGAGCCCTTGAAGAAGAGAAAAAAGAATCTGATTTCTCAGAGGATGAGGATATGGCTCTTCAAAGACCTTCCTTTACTGGCATCTTTGATGCACAGAAGGTTAGGGCTTTATTATTCAAAGCCAAGAAAACTACAAAGTTGGGGCCTGGGGCTGATGTCGGTGAAACAGAGGATGATGGCACAGTGCCACCTGATCAACTTTTCAATGAACCAGCTGTAACCAGAAATGGTGCCTGTCCCTCGATTATTCCTCAATGTTGTACAAAAACAGATGGAAGCCCCTGGTACTTCCTCATCGCTGTCGGCCAACAAGAGGTGTTTCTTCACTATGGGACCCGAGCTTACCAGCTCCCTACAGGTACCTACAGTTGATGCACCGGTTGCGGCTATGATCTCTGCTTCATCCAATCCGGCAGATCCTGAAGAGGCACTAAAAGCTGAGGATAAGAGGATTGAGCAATCCCTCTAGTGCACTCACCTGGCAGCTGCTTGGGCAGTCAAGGCAGCATCGGCCGCCTCCTTTTTCATGAGATCCTCTCTATGGTGGCTTCGCCAATTGCAGGAATGTGTCCCTGCATCTGACGTGTGAATCCATCAGGATATTCATAAGTTGGTCACAGCCTCAGAATTCACTGCAGACGCTACTTTGAATAGTGCCAGGTTTGCCTCCAAGGCCATCGCCACATCCATTGCTGCCCGTAGAATGCTTTGGCTGAAGAGTTGGCAAGCAGACGGTCGGCGCAAGTGGAAGGTGGCCTCTTTTCCCATAAAAGGGGACAAGCTGTTTGGCGAGGTCCCAGAGCTGCACCTGGTTGAAAACCAGGGACAAGAAGAAGTATCTTCCTTCTCTAAATCGATGCTCCAGTTTCAGGGCTGCTCCTTATAACCGTAGATCCTCTTTCAGAGGAGAGGGCACTTCAGGGGCTCAAGGGTCCCAGAGGCAACCCTACAACCAGCAAGAACGCCCTCAGGACAGAGCAGCCCGTGACAGACCGCAATACTCAGGCAAGCAGCCCTTTCGTGGGGGAGGAAGTTGCTTCTTCAGACGCTCCCGATAAAGATAGCAGTAGTCCTCCCACTGGGGGCAGATTATCCCATTTTGCTGCCCAATGGGAAACTATCACATCCGACACTTGGGTGTTACAAACTGTTAGACAGGGTCTATCCCTCAAATTTTGATCTCCTCCCCCCAGATTTTTTGTACCTTGTTCAGTCTCCAGAATTCCATCTCGTAGATGGTTGGTGGAACAGGCAATTCAACACCTTTTAGACATCAGAGCCATACAAAAGGTCCCCATTAACCAACAGGGCAAGGGATTTTATTCCCGTCTGTTTGTGGTACCTAATTCTTCTGGGAAATACGACTTCAGCAATAGAGTGGTCAATGTCTGGAATACTCTACCCGACTCTGTAGTTTCTTCCCCAAACCCCAAAAACTTTAACCTTAGACTGTCTACTATTGACCTCACCCCTTTCCTAAGAGGTCTGTAAGGGGCGTGCATAAGCGCACCAACGTGCCTACCGTCCCTGTCCTATTGTTTCTTATTCTTCTTTTATTTTTCTTATATGTACCCATTTCATGTATTCACAACTATGTATACACTTATACTTATTATCTTGTAAACAATTGGCAAATCAAATAAATAAATAAATAAATAAATAAGCCATCTTAGATCTTAAAAGGCTCAATAAATTTGTATTGTACAAGCGTTTCAGGATGCATTCACTACAGACTATCTTGGCCAGCGTCAGGGAGGGTGACTTCCTCACCTCTATAGATCTCACTGAAGCTTATCTTCATATCAGAATTTGCCATTCACATAGGCAATGCTTATGTTTCACTTACCAAGGCAAACATTTCCAATGCAGGGCCATGCCCTTTGGCTTGTCCTCTGCGCCCAGGGTTTTCACAAAAACCTTGGCAGCCCTGGCAGCCCGTTTGAGGAGTATCCCTATTAGGGTTCAATGTTACTTAGATGACATTTTAATCCAGTCTTCTTCTAAAGGCCAAGCCCTAAGGGATCTACAGACTACCATTAACATGTTACAAGACCACAGGTTTTCCATAAATGAGAAGAAAACCCATTTTTCTCCTACCACAAGTTTATTGCATTTGGGGGCTAACATAGATACACTTTCTTGCAAAGTTTTTCTTTCACAAGAGAGGATTGACAGTTTGCAGTCTATGATTGGGAAGATTGGGAAGGCTCGTTCTTCCTCCCTGGCTTCTCCATCCCAACTATTAGGGAAAATGATTTCCACCATCTGCATTGTGCCTTGGGCCAGGCTTCACTCCAGAAAGCTTCAATGGTTCCTTTTGCCACATCCACAGGCAGGCAGGAGTCATTCTGCTATTAGGGTCTCCGTACCTACATCAATCAAAAGGTCATTGTTGTGGTGGTCTTCTGCGGCCTTGCACGCTGGACAATCATTCAAAGAACCTTCCCGTATAGTCATCACCACAGATGCCAGTCTTTCCGGCTGGGGAGCCCATCTAGACTTGAACTTGGCACAGGGTCTGTGGTCCCCCTCAGAAAAAGGGAAGAGTAATTAATTGGTTAGAATTAAGAGCTGTTAGGTTTGCTCTCAAACAATCTAGGTCACACATTTTTCATTCTCATGTCCTTATCTTGACGGACAACACCACCGCCAAGGCACACATTAATAGACAGGGAGGTACCAGATCCCAAGCTCTTATATTAGAGGCTGAGTGTCTGGGACTTTGGGCAGAAAAGAATCTCCTTTCGATTAGGGCGGAATACATCTCCCAGGGGGGATAATACACAAGCAGATTGGCTAAGTAGAGCAAAAATTGACCCCTCAGAGTGGAGTATTCCCCCTCTTCTGTTTCAGGAGCTGGTTCAGATATTCGGACTTCCAGTGGTGGACCTGTTTGCCTCTCCGACCAATGCCCAACTTCCCAGATTCTTCACCAGGTTCACGCACCAGGGGGCAGAAGGGACCAACACCCTGAGGTGCCATTGGCCTCGGGGGCTGCTGTATGTCTTGCCTCCTCTTCCTGTTGTTACCAGTGGTGATTTGGAAAATTTTGGAGGAGGAGGTGGAAGTATTGTTAGTAGCTCCCTACTGGACCAGACATCCTTGGTTCGCGTACCTGGTGAACGTTTCGTGCTCCACTCCTTGGAGGATCCCTCCTCTCAAAGTCTCCCTTCTCCAAGGAGAAGTCTCACACCCGGATCCTCAGTGGCTCCAGCTGACCACATGGCGGTTGAGCGGAGTGGTCTAATGAAGCAAAAGATTTCTGAGAAGGCCATCCAGACCATCTTAGTAGCTAGATGGCCTTCCACTAACAGAATTTATCAGGCCACTTGGAAAGTTTTCTGCCAGTGGTGTTTGAAATCCAGAATTTCCCCCTTTCGGCTTCCGTGGCCAATATTTTGGATTTTTTGCAGGAGGGTCTCAACAAGGGACTCTCTGCTAATACTTTGCGTAGACAGGTTGCAGCCCTTTCCTTGGTTTTGTTTTTGCACTAAAAAGGTTCCCTGTCTCTCAATCAGACCGTTCATAAATTTTTAAAAAGGGGGTCGAATTTAAGACTACCGGTGGTTCACAGATTTCCCACTTGGGATCTTCCCAAAGTTCTAAAAGCCTTAATGTCTCCACTTTTTGAATCACTTAAATCCATAACTTTGTATTTCCTCTCTCTCAAGTGGCTTTACTCATAGCCATCACCTCGGCTAGGAGGATCTCTGAGTTAGCCACTCTTTCTGTCAAGGAGGGCTTGTGTGTCTTCCATGCAGACAGAGTGGTGTTGCGGTTAGATCCCTCCTTTATTCCTAAAATCAATTCCAGATTTCATAGAGCACAGGAACTACTTCTTCCCACTCTCTCGAGCGATCATGGCACACTCTGGATGTATGAAGGGCGGTGAAGACTTACATCCGGAGGACTCTGCTGTTCCGCAGGACGGAGGCTCGGTTCGTCTCATTTCAACCCGGTTCCTTGGGGTTGAAGGTGTCGCCAATGACAGTGGGCACATGGATTAGGGCCTGCATTGCTAAGGCTTATCACACTTCAGCTCTTCCGATTCCAAGAGGGCTGACAGCACATTCCACCAGAAGTGCAGCAACAACGGCGGCCTGGGCTACCCAAGCCCCCATTGAGGAGATTTGCAGAGCGGCCACCTGGTCTTCTCCATCTCCTTTTATCCGCCATTATCACATTGATGCCTTCGCTGCGGCAGATGCCGCTTTCGGCAGAAGAGTCCTGCAAAGTGTACATGAACACTGATGTAAGTAGGACCAGACTATTGCCCTCCCTGGAATTAGCAAGCTTGGGTATGTCCCATCCTATCTGGACTCACGTAAGCATAGACAGGAAAAGGAACATTGGCTTACCTGAATGTTCATTTTCTGTCCTGGTGGAGTGAGTCCAGCCCCACCCTGGTTCGTCTGGTCTGGGGTTGGTTAGGGGGGTGCATTAATGTGTGTCTGTTTATCTGCATTAGTTGAATCACGTCCTGTCTGCCTTGATGCTTCGTTGAAAGCTGGGGAGTGGCCCACAGCAAAGGGGCAGAGCTTGAATTTGAGCAGACTCAGTCCTATTGGTTTAAACTGATATAACCATCCTTTCTGGACTCACTCCACCAAGACAGAAAATGAACATTCAGGAAAGCCAATGTTCCTTCTAACCACTGTACCACGGTTCTTAAATAAGATACTTAAATCCTGGCTGCCTGATGAGCAGGCAGTAGCTACCTAAGAACTTCAGAAGAACCATTCTGGATCTGTCTGGTGGCTTTTCTGCTCTGGCATTCAGAGTCACACGGTGGCCAGCTGGATGCATTTGGAAAGTTTATGAACCTAAAAACCAGAAGCTAAAGAGTCCCATTTCTGGCAATCACATATGCACTATTAAGATTCGAGAGGTAACAGACAGCCGGCTAATATTGGTAGCCATTGATAGCTGAAATCCAAGCACGATTTGCAACCCCTGAGCAGAGGGTCACTTGTGTGCAGTTTCCCAGGGCTTCCCCACCCCTCTGAGGTAGCCTATGCTTCTTTCTTTACCCTGCTGTCTCTCTGCTCAGGAACTACAAATCCTACCTGCTGAAATCCAAATGGGATTTTCAGATCCCGAGCAAAGAGACACACATGCTGAGCCCATGCAGGACCTCTCCCATCTGCATGAGACACCCCACACTCCTTATGTTACTGCACTAACTCTCTGCTCTCTGGATTTTGGCTCCCTCTCATCTTGGGGGGTGGGCTGGCATGGTGCAGTAATTAAGCCGAAATCTTCAGAATGTCAGCTCTTTCTGCACTCCCTTCATCTCCCTTCAGGAGTCAGCCAGCCGGCCAGAAACAAGAGGGAGTTTTTGCAGGCTGCGGCAGCTTCCAACCTTTCCTGCTGGCTTCCCCATTGACAACCTGGGGAAGCAAGCAGAGAAGATTGCAAATGGTGATTATATGATCATAGGACAGTTAGTAACTGTTCACTTAGTAATTTAGTAACTGTAGGGTGGTTAGTAAGTGTGAACAGTTGCCAAGCACACACATCATAATCATACGGCCCTATGGGTGGTAGTGCAACATTTTGCATCAGCCAGAAATGCTTTATGGCCCCTAAAACACTCTTTCCAAGGCTGTCGTAATTCCAGACCATCATTAAATGAATGTTCATAAGTTGACTACCTGCATTGAACTATACCACCAAACGTCTCTCATCTACAAGACTCAGGCATGTTTTCCTAGTAGGATAAGAATTCTGTTCCAGCACCTAAACATGGGAACCAGGTGGCTAAATTCCTGGTGACGTATTTTCTGCCCTTGATGCTGTCCATGTTTTCATTATATTTAATTTGCTTTGATCTTGGGGGTTTTGTTGCCTTTAAGATTGGACTTCCATGAGCTATTCCATTTACGGTAGTTTGAGAGAAAAGCCATTTGAATAAATGAATAAACAATACTAACACTGTACTTGCTTCTTTCTCTCTTCCCTCTCTCCCCCCTCTCTCTCTCCCCCTCTGCCCTCTCTCCCTCTCTCTCCCCTCTCTCTTCCCTCTATCTCTTCCCTCTCTCTCCCCTCCCCCGCTTCTCTCTCTTGCCTCCTCTCTCTTGCCTCTCTCTCTCCCCCCTCCCTCTCTCTCTTTCTCCCCCCCTCAAACATTGTGCAGCCGGTGATCTATTATCTGGTAAAATGGTGTTCACTCCCTTATGAAGACAGCACGTGGGAACTGAAAGAAGACGTGGACGAAGGGAAGGTCCGAGAGTTCAAATGCATCCAGTCCAGGCACCCTGAGCTCAAACGGGTGGTGAGTGGCAACTTATTCCTTACACTCTAATGTCCTGGCCTTATCTGCCATGCTAACTTAGCCTTCTGGGTTTGTCCACTATTATTATGGAACCGTGTCTGGGTTTGGATACCTACTTCTTCACATGTGCAGCCAGATTTCTGGCTCTCCTTGGTACTGAAAAACAACAACACCTTAACTGATCTCTGGTACCTTCTCATTATTGCAGGACAGAGAGGAAAGAAAAACAAAGTCCATTGCAGATATAATAATCAGTAGCTTTGGTTATTATTAGTAGTAGTATTCTCTCCAGGCTTTAAATGAATGGATTCTAGTCCCACCTTAGCCAGAAAGCTGACTGTGTGATTTGGGCCAATCGCCAGGAGATTGTGAGTTCAATTCCTGCCCTAGGCATGAAAGCTGTCTGGGTGACTTTGGGCCAATCACCTGGAGACTCTGAGTTCTAGTCCCACCTTAAGTATGAAATCCAGCTGGGTGGTTTTCAGTCTTTCACTCTGGGAGATTAATCAATCTCCCAGTGTTTTGGGGAAAATAGAAGGAGGAAGGTGTATTGGATATGTTTGCAATCTTGAAGAGAGAGAGAAAGAAAAAGAAAAAGGGAGGGAGGGGAGGAAGAGGAGAGGAGAAAGAAAAATGAAAGAGAAAGAAAAGAAGGAAGGAAGAAGGAGAGGGAGGGAGGAAAGGAAAATGAAAAAAGATGAAAGATGAAAGAGAAAAAAGAGAAAGAGGAAGGAAAGAAGGAAGCAGAGGGAGGGGGAAAGACAAATGAGAGAAAGAAAGGAAGAAAAAAGAAAGAAAGAAAAAATCAGAGAAGTACAGAACTTGGCAGACAGCCCATATCATGATGCAAAGATCCCTATTTGGTTTGTCAAAGGTAAAACATCTTTGGTTCATACAGTAACATCAAAAGAACAGGTAGCATTGATATTACCAGCCTCTGATGGGAGACAAAACACGAAGGAAAAGAAACTTGCAGGGGCTGAATTTGTTTCATAAAGAGGGTAGCTTGCAGAAATACTGACTCGAATGAAAGGGTAATCTTAACCACAGAATCAGAAATACTCTTCTAGTGGCATTCAGCAAGTTCCACAAAACCTTTCCCTCCTTTGGCTCCTAATAGCAAACATTTATTCCTTAGGCTCGACCCCAGGCAGGTTCCTGGAAAAAGCTGGAACTTTCCCATGAATACAAGAACGGCAATCAGTTGCGCGAATATCAGCTGGAAGGTGTAAACTGGTTGCTTTTCAACTGGTACAATAGGTGAGGCTATGGGCAGGAAAGCCCAGAGGAGAAATGCAGGTTGGTTAGGAGATTTTGTTCTCAAGTTGAAAATCATGCTTTCCGATGACAGTTGTGAAGGCTGGGATTTCTACAGATGGCCAGGAGCCATGTGTTCTGACCTAGGCTTCACAAAATCACGAAGCAGACTCTTTTTATTAAGCTAATGTGAATTCATATCATTCACATCCAGCAAAGTCCTGGCAAACAGTCTTTCAAGGGTGAATTACAACCACAGACCTTATCAAGCTTGGAGAGCTGCCAGGCCGATAGCTTCCAAGTGCAACGCTGTACAAGAAAATACTTGGCAAGGAGTCTCTGAGAGTCACAAACAAATCTTCACACTAATTAAACGAACTAATTGTCTCCTGCAAACACCACTCCCCTTTCACTCCTCTTTATTCCCTAGGGGAGGGGCCACTCACCGTCCACCTGTGCCTTTACTCCCGAGTCGACCCTTGTTCCTTAACTGTTCCCTTCTGGCAGCTCTGTGCATGCGCACATCAGGAACAGGCTCCAGCTGTTCTTCTGCCCCACTGATCTCCGACTCCGAAGGCAGCTGATAACTGTTGTATGGCCCTGGCCCCATCTCTGCCTCAGACGCAGAGCCCTCATCAGAGCCCTCCCCAGACTCCAGGACTGGCCCATGTTCCTCCCCAACCTCCTCACTGTCCGCATCTGCTGCCAGCTCTACTGGCCGGCCATAACTCCATGGTGGTGCACTGGTTAGAATGCAGTATTGCAAGTTAACTCTGCCCACTGCCAGGAGTTTGTTCCTAACCGGCCCAAGGTTGACTTAGCCTTCCATCCTTCCAAGATTGATAAAATGAGGACCCAGATTCTTGGGGGCAATAGGCTGATTCTGTAAACCACTTAGAGATGGCTGCAAAGCACTATGAAGCGGTACATAAGTCTTAAGTGCTATTGCTATTGCTACCCACTCCAGTCCCATTATTTTGAGCAGTGGTTTTTCCAAAACCAACGGCAGAGAATTCTTAATCATACAAGCAGCACCATCTAACCCAGGGGTGTCAAACTCAAGGCCTGCGGGCCAGATCCAGCCCACAGGGTACTTAGATCTGGCCAGCAGAGCCGCCCTGGAAACAGCAAAGGACCGGCCTGTGGTGCCTCTGCCAACAAAAACAGCTTGGGAGGGCCACGTGAGCGCTCGGGCCACCAGAGGCTCCCCCAACATGAGTGACGTTGAGCTGGCCACTCCCACCCTGGCCATGCCCCTGCCCCTCCTGAGGTCAAACACAACCCTGATGCAGCCCTCAATAAAAACGAGTTTGATACTCCTGATCTAACCTGTAGAAAAGTTGGCCAGTGGGATGGTTTTAAGAATACATTGGGCAAATTGGCTATAAAAATTGTGCTTAACGGTTCTGTAAAATGTAGTTATTTCTAGCCTCTACTTCAGGCCCAGATGTTTTACCACATCTGGTCTTTTGGCTGTCCCTATCCGGCCTGCATGAATTGCTTTTATTTTAAAGGCAGCTGCTTTTTTTTCCAATTTACATATGTGCGTGTGTGCATGCTAGATCCTATTGGTTCAGTCCTCCACAATAGTCCCGGTGTCTCATGTAGCCCCTGGGGAATATGAATTTCCCACCCCTGGTCTACATGGTGCTACCCTCTCCGTTGTCTGTGGAGATTCTCAGTCATCCAGATCCTGGTTATGTCAAAGGTGCTTTTTCAAAAGTCAACTGGACTTGTTTTTTCTTGAGGAAGAAGAAGAAAACATTTTGCTTCTCATCCAAGAAGCTTAATCCGTTGTATCTATGGAGATTCTCAGTCATCCAGGTCATGGTTGTCCCAAAGGTGCTTTTTTTCAAGAGGCAACTGGACTTTCTGGGGTTTTTGGGGGGGGGGGGGGTGGGGGGAGACGTTTCACTTCATATCCAAGAAGCTTCTTCAGCTCTCGGCTTCTTGGATGAGAAGCAAAATGTCTTCAAAGAAAAACCAGAAACTCCAGTTGCCTCTTGAAAAAAAGCACCTTTGGGACTTCATGTTGTGTGTTAAAGCTTCTTGGATGAGAAACAAAACATTTTCTCCTTCCTCATGGAAAACCAGGCCAGTTGCCTTTTTAAAAAAAGCACCTTTGAGACTAAAAGAGTCCAAGGAGATTTGAGATTTTGGCGGACATCACTATACTTGCTGCTTTTTCACTCTCTTGAGGGCTAGATGAGAAGAAAAATTTTGGGGGGTGGAGAATTACCTTTAAAGGATCTGTGTTTTGTGTTGTAATAAAAATAGAACAGTGCGGTTACCTGCAAATGAGGAAGACAATCTGCTATCTTCAGACATTGCGTATGACAAACTCCGCAAGTTTCAAGCAGTATGGTCAGGAATTATGATAGGCCTGATTTAAAATTTCTGTTTGGAAATAAGTCCCATAGAATTCAGTGACAGTTGCTTCCTCTTTATCATCCCATCAGTGCTTTTCAAAAGGCAAACTGGATTTTCTTGGT